GAGAAGCCTGGTTCCCTGTCCTTTGCAATGGGAACCTTCTCTGAGGAGGAGCGCACCACTGCATCGGGATCACCAATGCCACGGTGCTCAATGCCAGCCTTCCTGATCTTTAGATCTGGAATTTTGGCATCTGGCTTGAACTTAAAAATTGTTCTACCACGCCATTCATAGCCAATTTGTAGGTCCTTCCATTTTGCCTTGCGCCAATCATCTGTCTTCTTGATCTCTTCTCCACCTTCTTTCTTCTTGATGATTGTCAATCGCAAGTCTTCCAGCAAGTCAGTGTCTACAGGACATGACTTAGTTGCTGGGAAAAGAATCTTCCTGTAATCCTTGTGGTGACGTGTCAGTTCTCTCTTGTGAAGATCTACTTCCCAGTAGTCAACCGCAGGATATGCATGCTCAGCTTCATCTTCATCACTATTGTGATCAACAGAAATATGGCCATATTCATAGTGAGTGAAGTGAGAGTAAAAGCTCTTCTCGCGCCGAGCCTGCAAACGCACGTCAGACAGATACCATGCAATATCTTGGAAGTCCAAAACAAGATGAGTACTGGCTGCAACCTTCAACTCCAAAAATTTGATACCAAGAGGCACCGATGTCAGGTAAGCATGTTGAGGTGTCAGCCTGAGTTCAAAGCCTAAGTTCCTCATCTGTGGCAAGCTCATAAGCAAAGGGACTTCTCCTTCTTGAACTATGTCGAACTCTGTATGGTGGATCGTCCATGCACGATCATACGTGTAAATCACCAGTTTCTGAGAGCAAGAAGCCTTCTGAGAATTGGCAAAATAAAACTTGCTCTTGGTAGACTCAAAAGAGTACCATAGTCCACAGTCTGGATGATTGTCGACATAGTTACAAAAATAATCGACTGCACGCCTTGATCCCATAGCTCTAGTGCATCCAATGTCCAGGATTGCAATAGTTGGCGGGAAGCGATTTTCAGTCAAAAATGAAATAGCCTGCATCTCTTTCACTTCTTCCTCAGCGCTCATAAGCGCAAAGCCATCAGGAGCATCTGTGAGCATCTCCTCTGACAAAGAGTACCACACAGGGGCACCCATGTCATCGAAGATCGTCTCACCATTGTTGACATTACAGTCAGCTTCATCTTGACATGAGGTCATCATGCCTGACAGCAAGTCCACCTCACTGTCATGGACTTCAGCTACCGTTGTCACACAATGCGCAAAGAAACCTTGGTTGCTTCCTGATGCTTGTGAAGTTCTTGAAGGTGCAGGTAAAGAACGTGGCTGTTGTTGATTTGCATAGTTTGCATCTTGTTTGCCATCTCCTTTATCTTTTCCTTTTCCTTTCTTGCCTTTTCTCTTGCCTTTTCCCTTTCCTTTGTGGGAAAACCACGCTTCTTCAAGTTGTTGCCAAAAGTCATTGGCATCTTCATGTTCTCCTTGAAGATAGTCATTCATATCTTCGGCAATGATAGCATCATATGCTACTTGATTTGACTCCCAAGTGTCCTCATAAGGATTCTCTTCATAATACTCTTCTGGATAAGTTGTCGATTGCTCATCAGCATAGTGGCCTTTACCTCGTCTCTTTCCTTTTCCTTTTCCTCGAGGTCTGAAAAATCTGCGGCCTGATCTTCCTTTTCCTTTTCCTTTTTTTTTCCTTTGCCTTTTCTGGCTCTTCTTCCTTGGAATCTCCTCTGGAACCAAGAGAAATTCTGTTCATCATATACCCAAAAGACATCGTCCAGGGCATCAAGGAATCCTTCTGTTCCATCTTCTTCATCATGTACCATCGAGTTCTCCTTCGTCTAGTACGAGAAATGATCTTCTACCTCCAGCACCTGTTGGCTGCATAAGAGGATTGTCTACTGAAGTCTTTGTTGTGCAGAACATCTCAATGAAAACTGTCCTCAACTCTGTTGTGGTGTATTGCTGCAGGACTCTACCATGATGAGTCATCAAAGAAATCAAAGTGTTTCGCTGGTCCTGAGACAAATCTGCAAGTGACAGCATGAGTAAGGCAATCAGATTTTCTCCCAAAGGAAAATCATTCTGATGAAAAGTTCTCATATTGCCATTGATGGTCTGCATGATTTCCTGAATCCTTTCTGCCGTTGGAGCTACTCCAGTCAACGCTGCATCAGCCTGCATCTGAGCTAGGACCTGAGGATGTGCTTGTGTGACTGGCTCTAACATGTCCATCCAACTGCTCATAAGCCTTTGGAGTAAAATCTGGAATCTTGTCATCCATTTCATCATGTCAGCTGATCCTCGATTGAAGCGCACGAATTGCATGAACCTATACAGGAATACATTGGTGGATCCTTTCACAAAATATGGTCGTAGTACTCTCTTGAAGTAATCTACTCCAGCTCCTGGTGGCTCATTAGCCTTCAATGCATCTCTGTCTGAAACTCGCTTGTATACAGCTGCTTCTCCTTCTAGTCGGCTTCTCAATGCTGGTCCTCTCTTCTCATCCTCCAGCTCGGTGATATCACACCAATCGTCTATGGCATCCTCATAGGAAAACCATGAAGTCTTTCCATCATAAGATGGGGGCACCTTTGTAGTGACCTGTGTTGTCATTGCTATTGCTGCTGGTTCTCTTCTCACATGCCTATTCACGTAGGCTGCTGGCTCATAAGCCACATCCGCATCAGGCTCTTCCCAGTCGTCAATCCAATCCATGGCCGTTTGCCCACAAGCAATTCTATGCCTAGGAAAGGAGCTCACCTGGGTCTTCCAGGATCACTGCTCCGCTACCACTGAAAGAGTGACTAGGGCGTACACGGTAGAGGTGCAGACCGCTAGTGTCTTTTGCTCACGCAGAGTCTTATCCTATATCCCTTGAGCCTTATGGCAGTCAAGCATGGACACACTAGATAGGCCACTGGAGTGGAACCTGTACAAGTAGGCCTCTACATTTCAGGGGGGGGGGGGGGGGGGGGGGAGTCTTCGACCTGAAAAATCAGGGGTTAGGATTTGCACCCGGTCGAAAGAAACCTTGCTATCGCAAGAGTAACTCCAGCTAGCTTCGCTAGCTTTCGTGACAAACATCCTAAAACAACTTAAAATAAATTGCACTCGAAAAGAAACTGAGTTGGAAGCGCTCCAAGCTGAGCACGAGACCTTGACTGTTGGTGGCTTTACAAGCTTTGGGGCTGATTGATCCACCTTGGCGGAACGCCACGATCGAATCTGTCCCCAAGAATGTTCACACTGTCTGCTGCAAGGCAGTAAGGTTGCAGCAAAATCACTCACAATGACTTTGCCATCGTTTGACCTCAGCATGGCTATTCTCAAGGATCGAAATCCAAGGGAGTCAGAGAGTAACCCAGCAGCTCAGCACACTGCACCAGAAGCTCCTCTTGCTTGTTTGCTGCCTTAGATCAAAGCCAAGCTTGTATGTGACTGTATGTGTATATAAATGCTTTGAGAGTCATTGGGAAAAAAGATCCGTGCACGTGATGAGGCATCCACTTGTTTCAAAATCAGAGCAGCAAGAAAACTGTGTGGATCGCTTGGCATCTCGTGGATGACCTGCCAGGCAACAGTCATCTTGGCAACCTTGCTCCTAGTAGTAAGGCCAGGAGCCCCTAGTAGCGATGCCCTTTGCCCCTAGTAGCGAACCTTGCTCCTAGTAGTAAGGCATGACAGCCAGATTTGTCATTTAAGTCTTGTTCTCTGCTCCTCTTTTCCCGGCCTCTCTAATGGCGTCAGCTATGACTTCTTCGACGTGATGCTCAGCTAGGTACCTCAAGAGAATCACACCCGATTGGGTTGAAGCTCCAAATGGTCTTCGTGCTCACTTCTGAGCTGCATCAACTTTGTTCTTCACCTGCAAATGCCCGAGCATGTCTCTATATGCTTTCAAGCTGGGCAGTGAGTGGTGCAGTTCTGCTGTTGCTCCAAGTTCTTACATGGAATGGAGCAATCAGGTTTCAAAAAACATTGCACAGTGGCAAGGGCTCGGCCTTCTGCTGTTTCTCTTTCTGCTCGGTCTTGGCTTCCTAGAAACGACCAACATCTACTGCTGACTGTCGTATCCATATTCTAGGCCATGCACGACAGTGTCACTGACCACGGCCAACCTCGTGCTTCATGGAACGCTAGGTCCCTAGTTAGCAAAGTATCAAACTCTAAAAACTCCTAGTAGCGAACCTTGTTCCTAGTAGCGATGCCAGAAGCCCCTAGTAGCGTCCTTGCTCCCAGTAGCGATGCCCTCTGCTGCTAGAAGCGTCCTTGCTTCACAGCTAAGCAAAAGGCTTCATAGGCAACAATTTGACCTCAGGATGCTCCACCGGCACCTGTCCGACGTATGCTGGGCAGAAACCACAGCATACTGTACACAGTCAAAACCGGCCTCTACGGCTTGATTGGCAATGTTGTCCAGATTCACAGTCAAATGGCCAATACGATGAAAGACCTTCAGATGGTCTTTGTCAACAGGTGTCTTTCACAAGAAAGGATTACACTATAACAATTAGTATTGTTTCGTTTTTTTTGGACAAACACCTCGATCCGTGCAAAGCGATGCTGATCCTCAATCTGAGGAAAGCGATAGGTTTTGGCAGACCCAAAACCTAAGCAAAGTCAAGTCTTCCATGCTGCGTGCTTTGAAGTTAAATTTCCCTTAAAAATATCTCAAAATCCAAGCACTTCTTCAAGGAAGCTCCCCTCCGCCCTCAGGCGGGGGAGGCTTCCTTGAAGAAGCGTGAGCTATCCTGCGTCCTCGCCAGGAGCGAACTAGTCGACCTTACTTAATTGAGTAGGCACCTACTTAATTAAGTAGGGAGGCACGGCCACGGGCAAAAAGGAAAACAGGTCTTTTCCGTTGGTTGCGTCTAGTTGACGCTGCCCACTCAGCTTCCTCTCAGACCCCCACGGGATTGCTTTTGGTAGTCGCCGATGCGCATAGAGACAAAGGTGTCTTTTGGAGTCGCTTGCCTCAAAGCGACACATGAACGTACCGCAGGGCCCGCAGAGCTACTATACCAGGCTTGCTCTTGAGACAGGAGCATGCAACAACGAAGAATGACCCTTGCATGATGAGACTGTTAAAGGCACTGCATTACAAGAACTCTCAATTTCCCGCAGCTGGCGCCCATAATGTATCAATACTGGCTGGTTGAATGCTTTAAAGATGTCTAGAGTATGTACATCTATGTACTATGCAACCTTTAACTCCTGAAATCTATACCAAACAATTTGCCCTAAAATACAGAGTTGGAGTCAAAGCGAGAGCTTACGGACGCAAACCACATGATGCCAAATGCACTCAAAGGGGAAAGCCAGCAGCAAACAGTCTGTGCCCTTAAGGATTCGACTACTTTCGGAAAAGAACTCAAAGTTCGAACAGCAGCCCGGCATATATTCTACATAGATGTTCGCTGATCCCTTTGCACTGCGTCATACAGTACAGTACACTGGCATATGTATATATACAACTAAGACTATGTAATACACACCTAGATTCAGGTGACACTCTCCGTCCCATGCCCCATCTCAGGCTGCGAGCCCTTCGACGGCATCGATCCGGATCTCCATATTGGACATTGGCTGAACAAGTCGGAGACGCTCGGAGACGCTGCGACCTCCGAGACGCTCGTATTCCACCGTAGGTCCGTAGGTCACTCTACCAGCTGTATTCATTTGCAAGTCAATTGGAAGCATTTATCAGCGTTTGCAATCCATCTCTTGAGCGAGCCTGGCAATGTGCCCCGATTCCCGGAGCAATTTCTGGTATATATGTAACTGTTTCAAGCAGGACCCAAATTGCTTCAAGCAAGAATACTTGGCACTGAAGTGGAAACACATGGAAAACCAACTGCCACACTGGCGCAAGCTGTCTGCAAGAAAGTAACAACCATTCATTGACATCCTTTTAAGCAAATGCATTGCCCTTCTTCATCCGTGCTTGGCACCGGGAAGCAATGTAATGAGACATCAAGAGACAAGTAATTGAGCACATGCTTCGCACGGCCCTTGGAGTCAAGGCTTGCGGGATCTGGCAATGAAATGCCTGCTGTCCGCAATGGTGTTGCATTTAAAGCTACTCGCAAAGGCAGTTACCGGGGCGCGATATGTTTCAAACAAAGCTACCACGGCCCGAGACCTTTCCTAAGCGGTCGGCCTCGTCCACCTCGACACCTGCGCAAGTGGGGTGCACAAAAAAATTATATAATGGCAAAGCAAGCTGGGGAGAAATGCACACACGGCAACAGATGGCAAAACACATCTTTTATCTCGATGCGGCATGCAGTCTCTGCACAGGACCAGACCTGGTGCAAGCTGGCTCTGACAAGCTGTCTCGAAGGTTTAGAGCTCAGAAAGATTATCTCAAAGCGGTTCAAGCTGCTAAAGTGGACTTAATCGGACTGCGACATAATTTCAGTCACAACCAAGGCGTTTGCGACATGGCCGCGGAGGGAAGCAAGGTCCTAGCAACAAAGCCCCTAGACTGGTAGACTCATCCAAAAAGCGCTGAGTCAAAAAGGCCAGGCCTCTCGCCCTTGTCAACCCAGCATCTCAAGCATTCTCCATCAGATTGAATGCAATTGTTATTGCAATAGTAAGCTTCTTTGACCTCACCCAAGTTGCAAAGGATTTATATAATGGGAGTGGCTCAGCTCGTCACAAGACCTTCTCCGATATCCAATGCCTGTGTCATTTCTTTCAGCTTGGCATAATTCTCGGGCACGTTCTTGAAGGTGGACTGTTGTTGAAGCGCATTCAAAAGCAGTCAACATTGACAACACGGTGGCATGTAATGATCTTGAATGACATGCACCCGAGCCTCAATGTAGCTATCAGGTGCATACCTGCCTCCCTTCATGAAGCGGCTCAAGGAGCGTTGCTTTGCCATTTCTGGGTCATTGTCAACCAAAGCAATGGCAATGCTGTAGCCAGCCTCACTGGAAGTCAAACACACATGGCTCCAAGATGCTGCAAGCAACTGCAGACAAGCTCGCCTCCTCGAAAACTGGCAGGACTCTTTTAGTGATGCGGTTCAAGTCTTTGCCAGTTTCCTGCACCCACCCGCCCACACACACACACAGCTGCAAATGCAAGAAACCTATGAGACCTGCCGCCTTCCGTAGCCATAGCTTTCCCACATGCTCCCCGAAGTTCCTCGTAGACCAAATGCTGTTTCCGCCTGATGATCTCCAGTTGAGCAGCCTTCGTTCTGAAAAATGAACACAAAGTTTGCAGGGTGCATCTTAGACCGAATGAACATTCTAAACTGATGTGCCTTAGCAATCGGAATGGCACCGGCATAGCAGCCATCTGCTGCATCCTCACAGTCACTTCACAAGAAATAATCGACAAAGAATAGAGCCGTGCAGGTTTCTACTTGGGCGGAATCCTTGTACACGACTAGCTTCTTCTGCACAGATGCCTCAACTGCTTAGTCTGTCTTCCAAGAGCGGATTGTTTCCAGCCTGCCTTGTATTCCGGAAGATACTCTATGTACCTGGATGCTAGATCTTGGAATGAGCATCTCAAAGACCACGCCATCTTGTGGGGCACTCGTCCAATCCGTGCCGCACAAAACTGCCTACGTCCATGCCATGCTTCGTCAAGACCTCAAGACAGAAAGCTTTAGAAAGAGAAACCTTACACGAAGACAGCAACAAGGAAAGAGAAAAATGAAGAGACAAGCAACAGAAACGACGAAAAAACTAAGTATGCCAATGTCAAACAAACCAAAGTCTGGGATACAAGCATTCAATAAGGAGCTCTTGCCAGCACCTGCCCCACCAAGCATGAGAAGCATCCAAGGTTTTTCCTTCAGAAATTGAACTCGAATGCAACTGTCTGCTCCAGCCACACAACAAGCCGTAAAGAAGGTCTGAGTCTGAAGTTGTTCTGAAACATTGCAAGCTTGTCCTGGGCGGGCTTTCCTTTCAGGTGTGCCTTGCCATAATTCAAGGCTTTGGATGGTGTCATGTCATCTACTGATATATGAAATGTCTGGCCTCGACGATCTCAGTCTGGATTGATGCAGAGTACTTTGGCAGGCCTTACAGAGCTAATTTTGGTGCAGTGACCCTTTCTTCTCTTTCTTCAACTCTTATAATTGGTGCAGTCAGCACACAAGGCGTTGGGGTCTTGTCCTCAATGGCACGCTCCGAAGGGCTTAGGTACCTGACAGGACAAAACCAACAAACCACTAATGTCTGCCAGTGCGGCAGTCTACCCAACAGCGCACCTTTCCAAAAAGTTGAGATGAAAGGTCGTCATACGAGCCTCCAGTCGCGCAGCAAGAAAGCCTTGAATGGTCCTTTCAGGACTTCACAAGTTCGCTGAGCTTGTGGCTAACACTCGTTTCAGCTTGTCTTCCTCGGGCAAAATCGTAATCCGGTAGTGCCAGGTTCCATTCCTTAGAATATCGACAGCCACCTTCTCATTCTGGTTTCAATGCTTGCAATGAGCCTCTGGGCAAAGCCGCTTCCAGGAACAACTATAACTCCTGTGGCCTTGTTCATTGAGTCTCTGTGAATCACAAAGCACTGCAGTTTGGAAGGAACAGTGCATGCGAGCCGTTCGGACGGTCGCCCTGCTATCCGGTGGATTTGAATAGTGTGATGCTTTCCATAACCAGGACTTTGACAGGACGAAACGATGTTTCAGGATGTTTCTTTCGCCTTACCTCAAGCATCTTGATGCAGTAAAGCATGTCGGCAGCCTCCAATTCACACAACAGGCTTCAACACTGGGCCGTTCGACTGGACTTTACAAGCAGAGTCCCGAGTACCTATTTAAAAACGGACCCCTAGTTAAAAAGTCATGTCGAAGCCCCTAAATGCGGCTTATATTTGTTTTTAAGTTACCGCCCTTTCAAGTACTAAACTACCAACATTGCCGATTTGGGAAGAATTTCTTTCAAAAACAACCGAAACTGCCCACCTCTGTCCGCCCTGTCTATCCACCATGACACGCCGCGTTTTACACCAGCAGGTTTTCCTTCCCCCAATGGCACGGACTCACACAAACGCACTTGCCACCGAGGTCACGCAAAACCGCATGGCACAGCGACATCACCTCTCGAAAGCTTTAGTTGTTAGTCTAATGAAGAATCACTAGTCACTATTCTAATAAATGTTTTTGTAGGGGAAAAGGAAGACCCTTCGATCTGGAGGTTTTTTGAATTTTTGGCACGAGTTTAATAAAGGATTGTATATAAACATTTTCTGGGTGACTTTTTGTTTTTGAAGCTCTTCCCAGGTGACCCTATTTTGGACCCCCGATTTCAGGGACCCCTTATTTTAAAAAATGCGACCGAGATTTCCTAATTAGGGGGGGGGCGTGTTTTTAATTAGGTGGACAGGATTAATATACAAGAAGCTATGAAGCCGTGTGCACTGCTGGCCCAAAGAAAGGCAAGATGGTGACTAGAGGCAGGTGTAGCAACCAAAGAGCAAGCACTGCAATAAGAAACGAGAGGCGCACTTTCTTGGGTTTGGCTCTTCAAAGTTCACTCTAGTTCTAGATCCACACACTGCCTATCCGTTCCGGCTCGCTCGGTGCAGGACAAATGCACCAGCTATTTGCACCAAACCGTCTTTGCCGGCCTTACCAAGACTTTCAGCTTCCTGAACAAACTTCTGAGGTAGATAAACCTCCAAGGTACATGGGATGCAACGTACAGCCGCAATCTTGAGCTATCTGCATTCACTACAACTGCGACATGGCCTGGGGGAATGCATACATTGCGCCTTCCACTGGCAGTGACTGCACACCAGGCATATGGTTGAGTGCTCGGGTCACCAAATCTGCCTGCAACGAACTTCTTACTTGGCTTTGGAGTCAAGCTTTTAGCTAGAATCAGCTAGCAGCTAGAAAGTACAGGAACATACAAGAAACGTTCTTCATCTTCCCGGCTGCGCCTTTCTGCTGAGGTTGGCCAAGATTTGGCTCCGCTCCTTGATGTGACAACCACAGTTGGGTAAGTTTTCGGAGATGGGACTTGATGCAGTTTCTTGCCTGTCAAAAAAGCATGCCAGTCCAAACATGTCCAAAAAGGGAGGGTCACACGGTTGAGTTGAATAGCATCGGTTTGAGCGCAGAAACGTTTCTCCTGCTCAAAGAGCTGAAAGGATGCATCTCCGGGCTGTGGAGGGTTCAAGATGGAAGCCATCAGAGCCTTCCAAACGCAGCGATTGGCCATCAGAATGATGCATGATATTTTGATTCGTCGATATGGCCGGACTTGCACGTGATTGCATCATATCATCATGCTTGACATACAAGGAACATTGCAAAAGCGAGCTTCAAAGCGCGTTGAGGTAGCTTCTTTCCTGACGTTTGGTGTTTGGTTGCCTGGCCCAAGGTGTTGGCACACAAGATCATGGAGAAGAGCTTGTAGATCTGATCAGCAACTTCTGGATCGATGTTCGTGAGCTGCATGACTCCTCCTGTGCCACATGCTAAGCATGAGCAGACGACTGTCGGGGACTTCTGAAGGACCCTGCAGCAATGGTTTTGGGACCATCGCAACACACGCGGACGGAATGGCTCAAATGTCTCAAACGAGATTGGGAGACCGACAAAGAGGGCACCCGGACACGACCATATAACCAGGTTCGGGACAGCGCCACAATGTCTGGGACACCATAACAAAAACCCAGTGGCTGCTTGACCCTTGAAGAACACAAGACCCACCCAAACATATCGATGTGCAATGGAAAGGTACACAGTTATTCAATAGAATTGTGAACATGCTGCACATGTGTCTCTAAAGCATTGGCACAAGCTTCTGGAACACAAAGAGCAAACTC